GAGGGCAAGAGGGCAAGAGGGTAAGAGGAGAAGATGCGAGGATGAGAAGATGTGAAGATGAGAAGATGTGAAGATGAGAAAATCTGAAGATGAGAAGATGAGAAGATGAGAAGGTGTGAAGATGAGAAGATGTGAAGATGAGCAGATGAGAAGATGTGAAGATGTGAAGATGAGAAGATACGAAGAGGAGAAGATGTGAGGATGAGAAGATGTGTGAGAGGATGTGAAGATGTGAAGTTGTGATAATGAGCAGCTGTGAAGGTGTGAGGATGTGAAGATGAGAGGATGTGAAGATGAGAGGATGTGAAGATGTGAAGATGTAAAGATGAGAAGATGTGAAGATGTGAGGATGTGAAGATGGGAAGGTGTGAGGATGAGAAGATGTGAAGAGGAGAAGATGTTTTACAGACTCAGGCGTGTCATGGGCCCCAAATCTGAGCGGAACGTGCTGAAGGTTAAGAAAGGACATGTGAAGGTTCAGACAGAAAGAAGACTGCAAGGTGCCGAGAACACGAGAACATAGTGAAGGCAAAAGGTCATGGCATGAAGGGGGCCTATCAAGTAGCCAGCTCTAATAAGGATTTGAGTGCAGCGGTGGACAAGTTGAAGGGCAGTTTCTGGGCAACAACTTCGAACGCCTCTCGCGACATCAAGAGAGGGGAGGTGATGAAGTTGGCAAAGATGCTGGAATCTGCGGAGGACAACGTATTTCCACTGTCTCAGACCTTAGTGGAGAAGGTGGCCGCGTGTCTGAAGGCCTCAAACATGAAATCAGGGGATCAATACCTGAACGAGCTGAAGTTGAGGCATGTGGAAGAAGGACATGACTTGCCGCCGTGGTTGATCAATGTTGATCAGAACGTTCAGCATGTGCAAGAAAGCGTTGACAAGGTGCAAGGGTCCGACCAAACGAGCTTTGGAAGCGAAGCTGGAGGGCATCAGTGATGACGCTTGGGCGGCAGCAAAACGAAAGGCAGGGGAAGGCATTGATCCGGTATGGTCGTATGCTTGGGCGTGCCTTTGGATGCTCAGATCGAAGCCAGCAACTGCAAATGGGAACATGTGCGTGCTGATGGGCAAGCGAAGCAGGTGTCGCTCAATATACCCATATCCAAGATGGACCAGAGTGCCTTGGGCGTCAAAGGGACGTTGCAGTGCTGCGGAGAATCACCGTGCTCACGCTTCTGTGCATGGGGAGTGTGGCAGATTTTGGTGAGCGCAGTGCCACAAGAAAGGCACCGCAAGGGTCATATCTTTGTGGATGAGAAGGGCGACAAACTGACCAGAGCAAAAATGATAGAAGGGTGGAAGAAAGTGACTGGCAAGGATGTGACCGGGCATTCAGCCAGGAGAAGCGGCGCCATGGAGTACATCAGAAGGGGGTTGCAAATACAAGAACTAGCTTTCCTAGGAAGATGGAAGTCTGCAGTGGTGTTGACCTACACCAATGACGCGCTGCAGGACGTCCCAACAAATCGAAACATCCCTGGGGAGGCTAGAGCCTTGGTGATATCTTGCCCCAAAACTCCATGGGGAACAATCCCTTGCCCAAGTACGCCTTGCACACCACTTTCTGCGAAGGGAGCTGCCTTCACAAAATGGATTCTGTGAAGGGAGCTGCCTTCACAAAAATGGATTCTGTGAAGGGAGCTGCCTTCACAAAATGGATTCTGTGAAGGGAGCTGCCTTCACAAAATGGATTCTGTGAAGGGAGCTGCCTTCACAAAAGGGATTCTGTGAAGGGAGCTGCCTTCACAAAAGGGATTCTGTGAAGGGAGCTGCCTTCACAAAAGGGATTCTGTGAAGGGAGCTGCCTTCACAAAATGGATTCTGTGAAGGGAGCTGCCTTCAAAAAAATGGATTCTGTGAAGGGAGCTGCCTTCAAAAGAATGGATTCTGTGAAGGGAGCTGCCTTCACAAAATGGATTCTGTGAAGGGAGCTGCCTTCACAAAATGGATTCTGTGAAGGGAGCTGCCTTCACAAAATGGATTCTGTGAAGGGAGCTGCCTTCACAAAATGGATTCTGTGAAGGGAGCTGCCTTCACAAAATGGATTCTGTGAAGGGAGCTGACTTCACAAAATGGATTCTGTGAAGGGAGCTGCCTTCACAAAATGGATTCTGTGAAGGGGGCTGCCTTCACAAAATGAATTGTGAAGGGAGCTGCCTTCACAAAATGGATTCTGTGAAGGGAGCTGCCTTCACAAAATGGATTCTGTGAAGGGAGCTACCTTCACAAAATGGATTCTGTGAAGGGAGCTGCCTTCACAAAAGGGATTCTGTGAAGGGAGCTGCCTTCACAAAAGGGATTCTGTGAAGGGAGCTGCCTTCACAAAATGGATTCTGTGAAGGGAGCTGCCTTCACAAAATGGATTCTGTGAAGGGAGCTGCCTTCGGAGTGTGTGTGACCGGGAGGAGGGACGGGAGGACGGAGGAAGAAGAAGGCGGAGCGGATACAGAACTAAAAACAAAAACCCCACACGTCAATGTGGTGAAAAAATAACTCACCCTATGCTCCCTGACCCAGAACACAACCACTTTCAAGCATCTATTTTCCTGCTTTGGTTTCGTGCTGTAGAGCTTTGTTTCAAAGCTTGGCAGGGTCTTGGCAAGGTACTTCAGACATCTCTTTTGTGCCTGGCTTTATTTCAAGCCTCAACTTCTGTGCTGGGCAAGCATGTCATTTCTCAGCTCCACCAGCTTCGCTTTTGTCATGCCCTGCGTTCCACAATGTGGAAGGAGGGCATCGATGACAGCACCATGTCCTCCTTGGGTACTGAGCTGCTTGCTTCTCAGTACAAGCCACCAGGAGAATCCATTTGTCACGCCACCACCCTTGGATATACCCCTGTTTGGTATATTTTCCTGCTTTCACCTTGAGCCATCCAGAAAACTCCGGCCTTATTTCAGGCCCCAGCTCTTGCATTTTTTGCTCTACTGCAGATGTCGAGTGGGATGCTGGCCTCTTCAGTGCTGGCCTTGTTTCAAGCCTCTGCCCTGCCATGGCAGCTGCTGGTCTTTTGGCAAGCTTTTTGCCCATGGCAGGCCTCTTCTTGACCTGGTTGGCTTTCTTTTCTTTTGTTGGTGGGCTCTTGGTGGCTAGCCTCTCTGCTGCTTCTGCAGCTTGCTGCTCCAAGGCTTCTTTGTGAGACTGGGCTCTCTTGCTGAGGAATGGCAGCCTGGCCGAATCTGGTGAATGGCCTTGTTTCAAGCCCCTTGCCCCAGCTGATTTGGGTGATGAGGGGCCTTGTTTCAAACATCTTGCCGTCGGTGTTTTGGGTGATCTTCTGCCTTTCAAGGCAGTGGGTGGTGACTGGCCTTGTTTCAAGCCACTGCTGGCTGCTGCCAGGCCTGATCCTTCCTTAGATGATTCAGGTGTTTTCAAAATCATTGGGAAACCTTTCGAATTCACGGACACTTCAGAACTCACATCATCTTCATCTCCAAGCCCAGAATTGTCAACTTTCATGCCAGTGGCCTTGTCACAAGCCTCATTTTGTTCTTCCATGGCTTCTTTGCAAGGATCTTCAAGCTCCTTGGCACTGCTGGCATTTTTCCATACCTCCCCATGCCCTGGCTCCAGTGCCAGCAAGTCTCCAAGCCTCTCGGCATCTGCCTCACTAGCTTTCTGTAGACATTGCCTCCTTCTCAGAATTATTTGTCAGCCTCCGCCAATGATTAAACATGATGACTATCTTGCTGCTAATGGTACTTGTCCAAACATTGTTCCTCATGTCAGTTTCATTTCATGTAGTGAACCTGAGTGCTTGCTTCTTCAATGGGAGGCCTTTGGGAATGCCATCGCGCAGTGGCAAGATGCCTCTGAGCCAGATTTGGCACTCCACTAAACCCTTAGCAGATGCTGCCTGAGCAACATCAAGGGTATTGTAGACCCCAAAATCAAAAGCCCTTGCTTCTTTCTTTTCATTATTAAGTCAAAGACTTGAGACAATTCTTCCTCTTTCATGTCCAAGCTGGGCTTCCTGTTAGCTCCACCTCGGATTTGTTTGCCTTTTTCCAAGCCTCCTTTGTCATGGCCTTTTTCCAGGCCTCCTTTGCCATGGCCTTTTTCCAGCCTTGCTGCTTTGTCTCTGCTTGAGCTCCTGGGCCTGTCTTTCTCCATGGCTTTTTTTCAAGCCTCAGAATTTGCAAAAAAAACAAAAAAATTGAGCCAAAGAAAAGGCTGCAGAAACCAATTGCCAGACATAGATATTCAGATTACATGAAACTGGATGCACATCCCCCTCAACACAGCTTCAGTCAGCCAAGCACTCTCTTTCTAATTAATGCTCCAAGGCAGTTTTGTAATTGAAAATGGCTGCAGGTATCTCGAAAAAAATATATCTCAAAAAAAAATAAGGAGTCATGTTTTTCAATAATTTTTGTTTTTTTCAATAAAAAAACAAGAATTATTGTTTTTTCAATAATTATTGAACTTTTTTCAATATATAATATTATTTGAAAAAAACAATAACGAAGCCGTTTCAATCCGGACTGAAAAAATATAGGATTGAAACATTTCAATCCCTGGACCCTCAGGGTGAGAAGACGAAGAGGGGAAGTGACCGAGGCCTAGACAAGGCACTTGGACCCGGAGACAATGACATGTTTGTGTATTTCGGCATTCATGGCTATGATTTCAACTGCTTCTTCAGCTCAAAGTATGTGCACACTGCGCACAGGAACACCACATCAGATCCACAGAATATCAAAGCATTTTTCAGAAATATATATATATATATATATATTTGCAAGAAATAGGTGCACGGAATGCACATAGAATATAGGACGGCATTATATAAAACAAATGTGTATATATATATACATACATCATTGTCAGCATTACTTTGTATATATGTATCTTTTGGATCATTGCTTAAGCAAACAAAACAAATACCAATATTTGAAGGTATCTTGCAGCAATATTTTCAATGAAATTGGTGGAATAAATTGCACATAGAATATAATATATTTTGATTTCGGAGGATTACCTTTGTATCTGCAGCTATGTCGGGGGTGAGCGGCATTTCAGAGGGTGACATGCTGGCTTACATCAAGGCTGCAGCTGAACGTAGTCCTTTGGACCTAGCACGTGAACGTGCCCAAGCAGAACAAAGTTCAGGTGAGAAGGTTGAACCTCCTCTTCCTCCACCAGATCAATCTCCGAGTGAGAATGAAGATGGGGAAGACTATGGCAAAGCTGAGGATCAGGTGGGGGGACAGGTGCAGATAGAATATGCCAGCATTGCTGGTTTTGGGATAGAATTTACATACGTATATAAAAATATGCATATATATATATATTCATATTTATATGTATATTGCTACGTTTTATATGTATGTGCAAGATTTCAAGGTGAAGGTGTATATGTGTAATATAGAATCAGTGGTTGCGAGATGCAGATAGAATATGTCAGCATTGTTGGTTTTAGAACATACTTTATATATATATGCATGTATTTGCACACATACACATAAATAAATAAATGTATATATATATATATATATATGTATATATTTATGTTTATATACATGGTTTCAAGGTGAAGGTGAAACTGTATAACACAATCAGTTGGGGAGGGATGCAGATAGAATATGCCAGCATTGCTAGTTTTAGAACATACTTTATATATATATATGCATGTATTTGCACACATACACATAAATAAATACATGTATATGTATATATAATATGTATATATATATATGTGTGTGTAAGTACGTTTATATACATGGTTTCAAGGTGAAGGTGAAACTGTATAACACAATCAGTTGGGGAGAGGTGCAGATAGAATATGCCAGCATTGCTGGTTTTAGAACATACTTTATATATATATATATGCATGTATTTGCACACATACACATAAAGAAATAAATGTATGTATATATATATATATATGTAAGTATGTTTATATACATGGTTTCAAGGTGAGGGTGAAACTGTATAACACAATCAGTTGGGGAGGGATGCAGATAGAATATGCCAGCATTGCTGGTTTTAGAACATACTTTATATATATATGCATGTATTTGCACACATACATATAAAGAAATAAATGTATGTATATATATATATATGTAAGTACGTTTATATACATGGTTTCAAGGTGAAGGTGAAACTGTATAACACAATCAGTTGGGGAGGGATGCAGATAGAATATGTCAGCGTTTTTGTTTTAGTACAGAATTAATATGTATATATATATATATGCATATATATATATGTCACGTTGTGTACAAGATTTCAGTATCGGGCGAAATTGTATAATCATCATTTGTGTGAAATTGCTTGTTTTTGTGAACGCATTCACCAAATTTTGAGATAAAAGTTCGCCAACATTGGTGGCAGGCTATGAAAGTTGAAAGCAAATTCATGACGGAGTACAAGAAGCACATTCGTGTGGATGTTACGCATTGCAAACGAAATTTCAATTTTCAATTGTATGGTTCCAGGGAAATGAGTCTACTGGCAGCAATTGAGTTTGAGAAGTATGCAAAGTCAGTCATGTATGACTTCGACTCTTATGGTCGGAAACCGGATAAGCGGAAGGTGGTGCTTGATGCGCATGGGTTGGGATCATACTACAACAAAAAAACCATTCCAGTTCAGCGGAAAGCACTTACTGATGCACTTTCTACCGGTGAGTCTACCTTGATGGAAAAGGAAATTGTCGAGAATGTTTGGAAAAAGGTTGTTCCAAAAGAGATTTTGGAAAAGACATCCATTGGATTTTCAAAACACTCGGTAATGTTTACCGTTGAGTTCCATGGCAGCAAGCAGCAGCTGAAGCAACCGCTCAAGACTTTGCAGCTGGCAGTTGATTGGGCAAAGGGCTTGCATTGCGCAGACCAGGACTGACGGGCATGGCAGGTTGTATATATATATATATAGAGAGAGATATATAGGAAAACAAGCTTCCGGAGTGCAGATTGAATATATTCTTGAGATGCCAGCGTTGCTGGCTACTAACTTTGTGAATGCACATACATATATATATATATATTATGTTTGTACTTTGCTTCTTTGCTCAAGCCAAGTAGGTTGTGACATGCAGCACAAATCAAAACAAAGAAAACACCAAGCAGCAACTAGACAGAAACAACAATAGTGTGCATACGTGTATATATATATATATACATGTATATTTTTATATATATATATACATATACATATATATATATATACACATACACACATATATATACACATACACATATATATATACATATATATATATATATATATATATATATATACAAATTTCAATACTGTTGTCGAGCGTACGGCCATGCAATGTGATGTGGGCAAGCGATGTGGTGGCCGCATACCAAGACCATTGCCCAAACCAAAGTTGAAGCGAAGTGGTGCATCTTCAAATGATACAGAGAACAAGTCTGAGCTTGACCGACTGATTGAACAAAATATGTTACTCGGGAATCAACAGCCTGCACATACTGCAGAAGTAGCTCTTACTATTTCAGATCTGGTTTGGAATGGGACACTAGAAGACTTCCTGCAGCCTATGCCTGACATGACACCATGCTCATCAAGCCGACCAGCTATTTCTAATTCAACCGAGACAATTGCTGCCACTGGTGATGAACAAGGTTGTGGAAACAAACAACATATGCTTGACAGGAAGCCGGTACCCTCAAGCCATTCAACATCGACATACCACCAGAACTTGTGTGCGTCTTCAGGTGTATCACCAAAAGCGGATATTTTTCAGCCTCAACCACCTATGGAGCAACTACAGAAGAGGATGAACTGGAACAAATGGGAGCCAGATAGCGCCAATGCAGAAGAAGTAAATGCTCGCCGGTTGAAGGATCTCAAGAATTTCCGAGAAATGAAACGGAAAAAACGGAGAGGACTTCATGTATAGATTGCAATGGCCAAAGCGTGGAAAAATGCTGATCAACAATGGGGGAAGATGGTCTTTTGACTTCAAACAAATCAAAATCAATGGCGAACATTGCAGATAGAATATGTTCTAGTGTGCCAGCATTGCTGGTTTATGTGTTTGAGTTTCTACGTTTATGTATACAATCTTGACACGCTCCTTGATTTGAATATGTTTATGTATCAGTTTCGATTTGCGTGCGCAAGCTGATAGTACGTGACCGGTGAGATAATGATGTGCGTACATTGTGCAGCTTTTGGTTGATGGAAAATCAAGGTAGTAGTTTTTCGGGAGAGCAGCTATGGATGTGCAAGACGTTTATTTGCTGGTTTTCTGGTTACTGCCTGGATTGGTGATTGGTGTCCTCGGGACTTTGATGATTCAACGATTGACGAGCCAGTATGTGTCACCGAAGAAAGCAAAGGTAGATACAAAGATTACTGGATACTCCGAAAGGATGATGACATCAACATCGTTTTGGCACATGATATGTATTTGTCCAGCACTGGACGGGTACACAAAACACCACATTGCAGCAATATGAAAAGCTGGCAACGGGTGCAGGTATGTTCCAAATGCTTTAAGATTGCATGAGACTCGTTTCTGCTGCGCGTGCATAAAGAAGGTGTTGGTGTTGGTATGTTGTGTGTTGGGATGGCTTAGGGGATCAAATCTATCAATATATGATACATATATTTTTTTTAATGTATATATATATATATTGTTTTTTTAAAAAAAAATTATTCATGGAGTGCAGATAGAATATATTTCTGTGCCAGCACTGGTGGCTACGTAACGATAAGCATACCAAGATGCGTGCGTATGTATATATATATATATCACATGCATGCATGATAATGACACAACATAATCAGCTGCTGTCGTGTTCGGCAGGACGGTGCTCTGTCGCAATCTATTCACGACATCGCGGCAAAGGGCAAAGATGTTGCTGCGCAGGATGATGCATTGCAGGCACTGGCTGCTAGTCAACAGGGAGACCTTGAGGAGATTGCTGTAACAATGGGAAAATCATGCCAGGTTGCCGAGTTATCACAAAGTGAGGACGTGACACAATCCTTCCTACAAACAATGAAATTTGTGGGCCCTGAGAGCTTGCGTTCCTCAGCATATGCTTACAAGGGCTTGATTCACGAATTGATGGGACGAGCCAATGATCAAAACATAAGCAAAGTTGGTATCATGGCTGGTAAGGATGATGCAGTGATAGAAGTGTGTGTGGGAGATGATGTTTCGACAATCCTTTCCAGCGATGAAATGAACAACCATTGGAAGAAGTTGGGCTACGAAATCATGGGTCTTGTGGCTTGGAGTCATGGGTCTACTATTTCATCCAAATACGAGGAGGATATGGCAAAACTTGTGTCGATCAAAGACAAACCGTATTTGCTGATGGTTTGTTATGCGACAGGTGATCCTGACACTTGGGAGTTCAATCTGGGTGGTTCCGGTATGTTCACTATGGTTGACATGATGAACAAAAGCAAGAAAAGACGCAAAGATGTGGTGTACAAAGTATTTCCTATTGAGAAAGTTGGTGTCACTGTGCAAGACGAAGCAAAAGCATTGATCGCAAAGGCTGTGGGAAATCATGTGATGGAAAACATGAAGCAGGCATATTCCTCTTGCAAAGCTAGATACTTGAAACATAAGACTCCTCCAGATGGCTATTGTTTCTGGCATTGTATTCTAGCGGGTTTGGATGAGACCTACTTCCAAGTGAAACGGCATGCAAGTGGCTTCGCTATGAGTAATCGTAGGGAGCAGGCAGAAGCACAAGCAGCTAAAAATCTGATGTACTCTGGTGCTGGCGATGGCAATGCTGAAACTATGTTCGAGAACGGGTATGTTCAGCTTCAACAAATCAGTGAAATTCGCCGACAGCTTAACCTGGCTATTCGTGTCACTGTTGACGATGAGGCTGGTAGAGCAACGATGTACAAACATGTGTTATATATATACATATCTACATATATATATATGTGGTTTGTGAACAACTATATATATGTGTGTTATCTGTAAACGGTGGTTTAAACATAGTCGTATATATATATATATACAATTATGTATATGCCAGAAGTTTGCAGATAGAATACATTTACATATACATATGTATATATATAATTATATCGTGTATGTACTACATACATATACAATATATGTATATATATATATATACAATCAAGATTTTTGATTAAATTCACATACGGTCATCCCTGAAGGCGTTTCAGAATGTGTGCGATTCTGGTGCGCTTGGGCCTAGTTTCCCACAGGATGCAATCCATGGTGTTCAGCGCAGCAAGCCTGATGTTCATCTCTACTACCAATGGTTGCTGCACATTGAATCAGGTGTAAAATACAGCCACTATGATTTGCTTGTAGAAGCGGACCCTACAGTTCCAGGTGACAGAATCATTGCGCTGCCATCACAGGCGAAGTTGTCAGAGTTTCATACGAGAAAGAATCAACTAGCAAGGTTTTTTGATTCAAAAACATACTTTGGTCGAGCATTCCAGCTTCCAAAGATGAAAGAGGGAAAGCTAGTTCCACAGGTAGATGAAGATTCATTTTTGCAGCCGGTGAATGCCAGCATGATGCAAAATCTTTTCGATACCAGAACGTATGAAGGCAAAGGTTACCAGTTTCCTGTTCTCAAGGGCAGATTACCTGGTACGTCAGACCTTACGCCAGAGAGCTTTCAGAAATTCTTCAACATACCTTTGAACGAACGGCCACAACCAAAGGCTACAGAGATTAGTTCTGCTGACAAACAGGTGCAGTTAGAATATGAATCTCAACCTCAGTCGCTCGAGGTTGCTTCAGTGTTGCATGATGCGTCGAGTTCCACCGTTCCAGTGGAAACGCAAGATCAACAAAGACAACATGATGCCTGTGAACACCAAGTCTCACAAGCCCAATCCCAACTTGCCGATGACAAACCAAATGTTTCCAATGGTGATACCGAACAGCTATGTGTTGCCCATAGTGATGTCACAGCTTTGGAAAATGCTACAAGCGTGGGTGAGTTGCAGTATGTCATGAAAGAAAAATGTATGGAAGAAATGTTATTCAAAATCTTCCAGCCAATTCTGGATGAACATGTGCAGCAAACTGCGCACAGCTCGCAAGATTCTGATGTGGAACCAACACAACCCCAAAAGCAACAATCAGCATCTCCAGTTGATTCAGAACAGACAGTGAGCAAAGATTGCAACCCACCACAGTGCCAAGTTCAATCGCCACCACCAGCACCCCAAGTTGATTCAGACGAGGTTGAGAGCAAAGATGGCAACTCACCACAGTGCCAAGTTCAATCCCAAAAGCCGCCATCAGCACCCCAAGCTTATTCAGAACAGATAGTGAGCAAAGATGACAACCCACCACAGTGCCAAGTTCAAACACAGCCGTTGCCAGAGGACACGCATGACACTGTTGACAAGTGTTTTGCTTTGCGATTACCCAATGACATACTGAACCAGATGTTCCAGCTGGAAAATTCTTCGGTTGTCATGAAGTGGAAGCACAAGCTACAAGCTGGCAACACCAAAGTATGTTTTGTGAGCTCCGAGGGACGAACTATAGTTGTTGCCACAGCATCACTTTCTGGAATCGACACCATTTCTTCCATTGCTGATTTAAGAATCCATGCAGCATGCAAAGATGCAAGCAAACATGAAAAAGAACTATGGCGTTCCAGCTTGTTGCAAAACAAAAGCTTGTTTGTTTGGAACTTCCAAGACTTGAAGAATCTCAGTATTCCTTTGGAATTGCCTCTGTTCCGAGGGAGAAGCATATGGGTATCTCTGAGCGAACTGAAACCACATGTAGAGACACCAATTCCGGGTATGGATTTGCGTGAGACATGTGAGTTCTTCCTCAACCGATTGCCACCCAACGATTATGAGAAACTAGGAGATCGTCTTCGCGCACTTGATGGTTGTTCAATTTCAGTTGGCAGCACCTGTTCTGGTACAGACATTTGTGTTGGTATGATGAAGGCTACAATTGCAAAACTGAATGAAGTATTCAATGCATCTCGTCATCATTTAGTACATTTTGTAGCATCAGGTGTGTATATATATACAAACGAAATTACTGGTGTCGTGATTGTTCGTTTGAAAATTGTTTCTTTCTGGTCAACATATGCAAAAGGTATCAAAAGGTTGCAGATAGAATATGGCATAAAACAGCCAGCATTGCTGGCTTTTTGCATTGCATACTATTGATATGTATATGTATAAATATACAAGCATGTTTACATATGGACATACATAACATGTGACTGTTTGTTCTTAACATAGCCAGCATTGCTGGCTTTCTACACTGCACACCTTTTGGTATATATATATAGTGGTATTACCAGCTGGTTTTGTTAGTCGCTGATCTGAGGTGAATATCAGTGTTCGCCATGTCTTCAGTGTTGAAATCGATGCTACAAAACGAAGCTTCATCATGAAAGCACATACCAAGGAGGGTTGCACACCAAACTTTCATATGTTCGAAGACGTTGAACTATTCAAAAGTGGATCTGGTTTCTGCCATACATGCCAGTGCAAACATGGACCTCCATCAACAGTCGACTTGATCTTCGCGGGACCTTCATGCAAGAAGCTTTCACTTATGTTTGCAGATCGCAAAGAGTACTTTAACTGCTATGAAACTGGAGATGGATGCTCAGGTTTTACATACCGTCATGGAGTGTGTGACGCCATAAGCATGACCAATCCTGCAGTGTTATTCTTTGAGAACGTGTTGGGCGTAGCGGACTCGAAGGTTGTCAATGGGAAGAAATCTGTACCACCTATTCAGGCAACAAATGACAAAATAGTTTCTTATATGCATATATATATACATATGCATATATATACAGTATATACAGTATGGAGCCATGATATCGAATAAGTAAACATGAAGAAGAAATACAGACAAGTTCAAAACGAATACGTGCTTATATATATATATATTATATATACATGCTGCTGCTTGCACACATACAATAGGTGAGGTGTTCGGTTCATGACATTTTCACTAAAAAAAGTATTTTTACATATATATTGAGATGGTTGGGAGTGCAGATAGAATATATGTCTGATCAGGTGATGAAGAATGATCTGGATATGCTTGGCTACGTGATGGAGTTCTGCAAGGTTGATGATACCAAAAACTACTTGCTACCATAAAGACGCAACAGGGTATATGCTACTGCTGATGTGGGGAACGGACAGAATGCTTGCGAGTATGAAAAGAACATGCTAAAGACTATGGAAGCACTGTCATCTGGTATTCTTATTCCAGTGGATACAATGATGGATCCTAATTTACCTGAAGAACCTTTGACAACTGAGAGACAAAAAGGACTACTGCAAAAGTCTATTGAGCATGCTTCGGAAAAATATGCTGGCAAGCATTTGTTCGTTGATGGTAGCACTTCAAGCGGCAGAATTCCCGAGTACTCACATGATGCGATGACATGCATCCGTCCATCTCATGGTATTTACAGTGCGAAATACAAAAGGTGGGTTACAGTTGAAGAAATGTGGAAAGCACAGGGTCTTTGGGTTTCGAATTTCGAAAATCCACAAGCTGTACGAGACATGCTGGCTACCAATCCCAAGGATGCACAAGATCTTTGTGGCAATGCATTTTCTGGTACTGCAGTGCAAGCCAAAGTGCTAGCATCTATGGTGCACAGTATGGGATGGGTGAACATTGCGAATGAAAAGAACCAGTACAAGAATGAATCTATTGTGGTGTCAGCATTGGATGCACTTCACCATGCACCTTCGAGTGAAAGCAATGATGTAGAACCTGGTTTCCAAACACCAACTGATTCAAAAAAAATGCAGTTTGAAAAGATCATTTTCAATGATTTCTACGCCAAGATCGGCTACTACGAGCGTATCCAAAGATTCTGGCTTGAAACCTGTGGTGGACCATCAGAAACCTGCAGAAAAAGGTGAAAAAGATCCTGACCCTGAACCTGCACCTCTGAAACGACAAAGGTATACAAAAAAAAACAAAACCCAGAGAATGCGATCAAATTGCAACAACTTCTGCAAATAGCATCAGCCGAGATGGATTGACAATTGCAAGCTACAAGCAACATGTTGAAGATCTTCGCGGCTCTGGCAAAAAACGGTCAGCAATAGTCAAGTCAACCGAAGAGCCAAATGCAAAGAAGAGAAAATACTCAACATCTGGAAAGACTGCGCGGAATGGAAAGAATGGTGTGATCAGCATCTTCAGGAAATTACAGCTTCTCAAGGTACATGGTTTGATCCAAAGAATTTTGTTTTCAAGGAATGTAGACTCGTATACATATACATATATATATAATTATGAATATAAAAATAATTTTGCTTTTACTAGATGTATACATATATATATATATATTGTTTTGTTTTTGATCACGGGATTGCAGTTAGAATATGTCAGTTCAGCCAGGAGTTCGAGGCACTCAAGGATGATGAATCAGTCAAGTTTCCGGAGCAGCACATGCTACGCACAATGCGTCGCAAAGAATGTTATCAAGGATGTTTTAGCAAATGGCAGAAGCAACGAATATTGTATGGTTGGGATGCCTTTGTGCAGGTGGCACCAACTTTGGCTAAAACAAAGAGCGAAATCCCTAATTCCTTTAGGAATGCCTTGAACGTCTCTGTCAAGAAGTGGAATGGCAGCAGGTTCAAGCGGGGGGATGGCTTACATACAATTCCTGACCCACTAGCACTTGCAACCGAAAGTATGTTGCTTGATGCAATGAGTACAGGACAGGAAATTGGGATGAACTTTGTGATGAAGACGATGAACTACATGGTGAGCCTGTGGAATGAGCATATGAAGGATATCCGTGATCACATTGAGCAGTTGGTGAAAAATCGAAGGGAAGCCGGTGATCATGTTGAGTCTTGCAGACCTATTGTTGGTATCAACAATGAGGAAATTTCTTGCGTTGACCCGGTAAAGAAGATGTTTGACACCCTTCAGTTCTGCAATATCCAAGATTCTCTTGAGGCAAGACAGTTACTCGTTTGTTTTTCATTTTATGTTTTTGATTTGCTGTGTGTATGTGCATGCATGCAGATAGAATATGGTTTAGTAAGCCAGCATTGCTGGCTTATATGTATGATATATATATATATACACTTGCGCCTGCACGACTAAGGTTGTGTGTGTGGAGACTATCCAAGAGGCTAGGATTGAAGAATGCTATTGTGACCAAACAATCCAAACATCTGGCTCACTCACACCCATCGATGGAGGCTGTAAGAAAATACATACAGTTGATTACTGAGAGGAATGAAGTTGAACCACGCTTAGTCGCCAACTTTGATCAAGTGTGGAGTGTGCATTATGAGCCTCCCAAGTCTGTTTTGCACAAGGACGACAGCAAGCTTGGTCAGTTGGTTGACTCACCATTCCAGAGAAACAGATCGATTGGAAAAATCATTGATCAGCTAGAGGCTTTCATGGGTGTTTCCAGCAAAGCTAGCATGTCTTCAAGGGGAAGGAAAGTGTGTGAGCAAGTGGTTTTGGATGGCCCTGGTAGCATGAACCCTGTGGACTACAGCCGGAACGCACGAACTGTCACGACTTTATCGTGGCGAGATGGTGACATGGGACGTGCTTGGATTACTGTAGCACCTGGCTCAATGTCTGGATCTTAGATTATATATCTATTATTTTCTATTTACCACGAATGCTTTCGGGTGCAGATAGAATATGGTGTAGGCTATCTACTAATTAGCCAGCACTGCTGGTTGTAGAATCAATAAGTATATAGTATGTAACCATATATGTATATGTATACACACACATACGTTTTTCCTAAGGTCGGAGAAGACCGTGCAAGCTATGAACAAGGAACTCAGTGATACGCTGCAAATATCAACAGATCACTATGGACCATCCCACATGTGGACAGCTGAAACTTTGGGTTCTTACTTAAAGTTTTTAGCTGTAGAAATTAGAAACAAACGAAGAAAACTTGGCCTGACAGCGCATGCAAAAGCTATGGTGGTGATGGACAAAGCACCTCAACATTCATCTTCAACCTTCAAGAAACTCCGTGAAAGGTTTGAAATTGACAACAACGTGCTGCTGCTGCATGGTGATTCGTTTCATGCAGTCGCTATACCAGCAGGCTTGGGTATGCAGATCGAATATGCCAAAATCATATATATATATATACATATACACATATTCAAATTTATATATATATATATAAATAGGTATATATATATATATATGTGTGTGTGTTTAAACAATGGGCTTGGTTTGAAACATGTAGTATTTTAGTAGATTGAAAACACTTCATTCCTACTGGCCCTTGAGGCTGGGGTGCATGCGGAGGTCCTAACGACGGATTCCATCAATTTTTCCATGGTTTACGCAGAAGTGCAATGAGAATGGGGGCAGGTATGGGTGACAATGTCGAGTACCGGAAGCGACTGATGGATTGTTCCATCGCAGTGGATGGCAATTTCCGTTTTGAGTCACTTGGTGATACATAATGCATGCACATATATAAATAAATATATATATATATGCTTTTTGTTTTCACATGAGTCGGCATCAATAAAATATATATACAATGTGCATGTAATTTGCAGATAGTGAGTACAACGTATATATATATATATATACACATTACACACATATATATATATATATTCTATCTGCACTTTTTGTGAGGCTTTCTCAAGAAGGATCACTTCGTTGTGATGCATGGGCTTTGGAGCAGCTTCGGCGGTATGAGAATGGAAAGCTGATCATGTGGAGTGGGATATCACGAGGTCATGTAACATTAGAGGAGATGACAGCATGGCATTTCAACAACGACATCAAGGAAGCGGAAGCTGCAATGTCACGGTTGAAAAAAGGAATGGCACAACTGTACAGCATTGATTCTGATATCATCCATGATCGACAACAAAAAGATTCTGAAGTTCATGATGCAGATGCAGATGCTCCATTGGAAGGAGAGACCGCCACTTTCTGGGCAATCCAAGCTCCCAACAATGAGAAAGCTGACCCGGTTCCTTTGCCATCGTGGTTCCAGCTTCCAATTGACAACCTCATCCTCACATGGAAGAAGGAGAATGGGATTTGGAACAAAAGATTCGAGAAACGATTGGAGCAAGGAAAAGCTCAGTTGGCACCGAAGCAAAAAGCAGCACATGAAGCATGGAAGAAGACACAGGAAAGGATCTTGGTACTTGACAAAAAGAAAGAGGCAATTGTGAAAAAAACCAGAGAAAAAAAGCCTAACGAATTTGAAGAAGACATGCTTGGCACTGGTAATTCATCCGTCGGAGGATCCAAGTGATTTGTGGATCAAAGCTGGCACAGGTCAGAAATGGGCATTGAAGCTACTACGTGGCAGTGTTCTCAATGATGCTCCTATACCAGAAGGCATGGATCATTTTGCAGGTGTGGGTTACAAACGAAATTGTTGCACGTGCATGCAAATATGTTAGACTATTTATATATATATATACATAGTTTTACAATGCCAGCACTGCTGGCTATATATATATATACACATGTGTATGTATATATATATAAATATAAATCTGTTTATTTATATTATATATATAAAACATTTACGTGCATACAAAGGGTTTCCATATTCTATCTGCATGCAGGTGATCTATCAGTTGCTGGTGCTGCTGCAAAACCAATCGAAAAAGGCGACGACGATTCAGCATCCGAAGACCTTCAACCTGGACATCATGAATTCGAGGATCCAAACATGCTTTCAAATGTGTTTGGTTCTGGTGATGAATTAGATGAGGAGCTCGATCCAGACATTCACAATGGCTGGATGTCTGTTGACAGTGAGAGCGATGGCGACGAACCATCAGCCCCTGTTGCATGTGAGCACTCCAAAGTCACTCGAACAAGAATCTCAGAAGAGCGACCTGAGTTTCAGGAATTGGCAATGCTCGGTTTGGTTGAGAGACCATCTGGCTGCACAATTGGCATACATCCAGAAGCTATGGTTTGGAGAGCTTCCGCTTCTGGATGCTCACATCATGGGAGATCATTCACGGCATCATGTGGAAGAACGCCAAAGCAGGCGTTGTTGCGAGTGATTGAACTCATGCTTCTTGATCATTTGGAAAAAGAGCCACAGGATCGTCTGGCCAAGAAGCAGCCTGTTAGAGTACAAGAAGCCAGAGCAGCAGAACCAAAACACAAAAACTGATGCAGAATGTGGAGAAGATCACGATTCCTGAAATCTTTGTTTCGTGTGACGATGTACAGATTGACAATTTGAACCGGGGTAGGGGAAAATTATGCAAGAGCTGGGAAGGAAGTGGAGGGAACGTGTTTTCTGCTAAGGGCCTTTTATAAAAAAGGTTCAAAATGTTGCAGATAGAATATATTTGAAATCCAGGGTTCTGGAAGCCCACATTTTACATTTATAATTGTATATATATATTATTCGCAATATATATTTGGAAGCCAGCGTTGCTGGTTGTGTATAAATATATATATATATATGATACGGGTTCCACATGCAATATATGTATTTTGTTTAGAACATATATATATATATATATTTATACAGCAAATATATATATACAGTAAATATGTATAGATTCAATTCAATCTAACATATTTTATATTCTATCTGTACTATATTCTATCTGCTGGTGGGAATTACTTTTTTTTATAGATAAAATATTCTATCTGCAGACTAATTACTGGCACATATTCTATGTGTGGGAAATTTAGTATATATATATATATGTATATATAAGTTTAGATAGATAGATAGATAGATAGGTAGATAGATAGATAGATAGATAAAGATAGATAGATAGATAGATATATATATATATAATATGTAAAAAAATATATTTATCATACAATATAAGACTTCTGTAGGCGAATCGACAGTTGACTGTATATCGAACATACATTGCCCCACAGGTACAAGGATGGCAATGGCCTGGATCGAATTTGCGGAGATGTGGATTCGAAAGCTTCACAGCACTATCCACAGCGCTTTGGGCAAGCAGTGACCGAATGCTTCCTTCACAACTACCCTGAAGTTGTCGAAACCGTTCAAAAGACCAAGGACAAGCTGGAAAGCAATCGGCCGAAGAAAGAGGCAAAGGACCATGGCTGCAAAACTGTTAGAAGGAATATTGGAAAGATATTCACAGTTTATTGGTTTATCGGTTTATCGGTATTGGTTTATCGGTTTATCGGTGTACTGGTTATAGTGGTTTATCGGTTTATCGGTTTATCCTGGGTGCTTGTTATTGGCATGGGGGTCACCAGAAACAACCCTGCAAAGGACCCTGGATTTGTCAAGCTGGCTGACCTTCGCCAGGTAATTCGAGAACTGGCTGCATAGCATTATAGGCCATTCAAGCGATGCCTACATCCACCTAGGCCTGGCCAATCAAAACTCAAGGAAAATCCACGGTTTTGAAGATTCTGATGGTTTTTGATGGTTTTTGACCAGTTTTGAAAATTTCGATGAAAATTTGAAAAACCGATAAACCAATAAAAATCCAATAAAAAGCCGATAAAAACCGATAATTTTAATGGTTTATTGGGTCTCAAATTTTGTTCAGGATTTTTCTGGAATTTTCAAAAAAAAAGAGTTTTGATTGCAATTTATTGGGCTCAGAGCGATAAACCCCCGATATTTCAGGTTTGGGGTCAGAATCCAACTAAATTGCCACAAAATGCTATCTAAGTTCCGGTTGATTGGCATACAGGCTTGATTTGTTGGTGTGGGAGCTATATTCAAGGCTAATTCACTCCAATTCCTGCAAAAATTGCACACTACATGGAGCCCGAGCTGGAAAAAAGGAGTCCACACGTGGCACAGTTCACATGGGAAGGAGCTGTAAAAACTTGAGCAAAGAATAGTTTCAAATGTTTCTTAATGTTTTTGATAAGATGGATCAGTTGGAGTCTATCACATTCATACCTGATACCCACATTTCCGAGACCTGGCTCAGCTTTCCATAGAGAGTTAAAACATGCCTGTTTTGACCCGGTGTCGCTCAAAGACGTCTCAGATGGATGCCCTCAAGGCATCACCCAACCCTCGAAAGCTTAAGAAGGCTGCCCAAAAGGTGAAAGCAGACAGAAAGAAAAGTCTGAAAGCCGAAGAGCTGAAGACACCGCCTACCAAGTCCATCCTGAAGAAGAAGAAGAAGGACTTCTGACCATGGGGAACAAGCTTACTTTGGATTAAGCTGTTGCATGCCGAGGTTTATCAATTTAGGAGTTTATGTCCCACATACATGCAAGTAGGTCATTTCCCTGCCTTTGCTGTGCCCTATGTCCATCTACATACAAGCTCTTCCTAGACTCATTTTGGGCCAGGTGATCTCATATCTGCATTCCTCCCATCCCATATTGCAGGAGAATGGATCAAGTGAAAAGACTTCAAAGGATGCTACGAAGAGGAAGCTCAGCTTTGCAGGTGAGAGCAAAGTTCACCTCATCGAGCCTGAGAACAAGAAACCCACAGAGAAAGAGGACAAACCAGAGCCCACCATGAGTGACAGCGAAGCAGCCAAGATCATCCTGGAAATGACCAAGCTTATAGAAGTAACACCAGCTTCAGATAGCGAAAAGTCAGAGGAGGAAGCTGAAGATAGCAGCAGCTCAGAGGATGAAGACGAAGATGAAGTCGAAGATGAAAAAGACGAGCAGGAGGAAGAGTCGACAGAAGCTGAAGAAGACGATGACGAAACATCTGAGGAGAGAGACTCAGACGAAGAGGATGAAGACAATCAGATCGGAGAGGAGGACTCTGAGGATTCCGACCCTGAGAGCTCATCAGAGACATCATCAGCATCCGACACTGATGATGAAAAAGACGAGAAGAAGAAGGACGATGAGAAGAACCAGAAAAAGAAAGAAGCCCAGAAGAAGGATGCACAGGTGATGGAAGATCCGAAGAAGAAGGATGATGCAAGGAAGAAGAATAATGATGAGCAGAAGAAGCAGGATAATCAGAAGAATAATGATGAGCAGAAGAAAGATCAGAAGAAGAAGAATGATGAGCAGAAGAAAGAGGAACAGAAGAAGGAGGAAGAGAGAAAGAAAGGTGGAAGCAAGAAGGTGAGCGCCAAAAAGAAGAAGGAGGAACAGAAGGATGAAAAGAAGTCCAAGCACAAAAAGGGCAAGAAGACGGCAGAAGTGGACGAGGATGAGCCCCTTAGTTCGACAGAAGATGAGGAGCCCGAGGTGACAAAGATGAGAAGAAGGTATCAAAGCATGAGGCAGGTGCCAACGATGGCAAGAGTGAGAAGAAAGAAGAAACAAAGAAGGCCAAGAAAGACAAGGAGAACAAAGAGAAGGAGAAGGAGAAGAAAGATGACAAGAAACGACCTTCGACGGGGGCAACCGGACCAGCTGCGCATGTGAAGAAGACCAAGGAAGCAAAGGATGGCAGCTCAGCACCAGCAGCACCAGCAGCACCTTCAAGCAAGTTGGAAGCAGCTGAAGCAAAGCTGGGCAACACTGAGGGCAAGGAGTCCGACAAGGATTTGATCAACTCAAACACTCACCACAAGGAGTACCTTCGTTACAAGCGATGGATCAAAAACGGAAAGCGGTTCCCAGTGGTGCTTGGGAGCCGACTAGCTACGGAGGAAGGGAGGAACAACCTGTTTGTGGACTATGTGAAGTGTGGTGGGAACATTGATGAAATCATTGCCCGCCATGAGCAGTCCCTGACAGAGTCCCAGAAGAGCCAAGTGAAGTATGGATTTCGATCCGAAAAATGGTTGCAGGACCAATATGGGGATGACAAAGCAAAGAGAATCATGGCTAAAAAAGTTAGCCTTGGCTTGACCATTGCCGACCCAGAGGAACCTGAGGATTGCTTGTACTTCTGTTTGATTGACATCGACGTGAAGAACATCAACGAGTTCAAAAAGGTTACGTCTTTGGAAGCCAAGGGAATGATTAGCCCTGAGATGCTGACAGCTTTCACTGAGGCTGGTGGGGTGATGGATCCTACCAAGGTGAAGGGAGACATGTCTAGCCAGGCAGGGATGACAAAGGCCTTGCAGTTCATGAATATGCCCAGCTCCGATGGCAAGAGCAACAACAAGTCCAAGTCCAAGAAGGCGAGAGGAGCAAAGGAAACAACCGGAGACAAAGACCAGGTGAAAGCCGAGACTCCCCAGGACAAAGCAAAGAGCCTGATAACGAAGGTATTGAAAGATGCCAACGCGTGCAGGCAGGGGGTATCCAAAATGTCGCTTATTAGTTCCAGAAGAAGGGAAAGCAAAAAAGGGACTATTAGCCATGCTGCTTTTGAGTTTTTTGCCATTTCAAACCAATCAAGCAATATCCAAAAAGAATGCCAAATCACAAAAACACTTTGGGTTTATATTGTTCCCCTCCTATCGGCCCAGGGACATGGCATTTCGCCTCAAGCCCTTGGAGATGAGTGACCAGCTGATCCAACAACTCAAAGCGATTCAGAACCAGTTTGAGAAGCAAGCCCGGGTGTTGCAGGAGCTTGTGAACCAGGGAAAGCAAAAGATGAAGCACTATGCAGCAGCCATGGAGGAGGCCCCAAGAAATATGGAGAATGCTTTTGAACAGTTCAGTCCTGTAATCAAACTTCTGGGATAGTTTCAGACTTCTGGGATAGTTGGATATACATATATATATATTTTTTATGTATGTTATGCATTTAAATATCATCGGGATAGATTGGGAATCGAAAAGGTTTTGAGTCCAACTTTAGATGCTTTTCAAACACCCAGTTTTAACGGTTTGGATTACCAACAAAGTGGGATTAGTTTTCAATGTTTGGTACGTTTGGGAAGGTTGATTGCACCCCCATGTTCCACACCAGTTTCTTTGAGAGTTTGGTCCATCTAAATTGTTTTTTGGTTTGAGCCCCCTGTCAAACCAGCTACATAGCTTAAAGGTGACCAAACTCAATGCCCTCCCAAAGGCTCCTAGATTGAAAAAAATCAACCGAGATTGAAAAAATCAATCTGAGATTGATTTTCTTCCAAAATCAATCGAAAATTCAATCTGGGAAGGCTTTTGGAAATCAATCGAAAAATCAATATTTTTCTGTCTTTTTAATTTCAAAACATGGATTCAAAATTCAACCGAAAATTCAACCGAAAATTCAATAGAGAAACCAATCTGGGACAACTGGTTTTGTTGCTTGAGGTGTTGTATGTGTTGCAATTTTGAATAGGCACCACACCACCTATTGCCTTTATCTCTGTCTATCTAGCCACTACACCCTAACTTTGTATGTATAGCTATCCAGCCACCACACTCCACCCTTGCATGTGGCTGTCCAGCCACCACACTCCACCCTTGCATGTGGCTGTCCAGCCACCACACTCTGCCCTAGCACTCTGCCCTAACATGTGGCTATCCAGCCACCACACTCTACCTTTTTGGTTTCTTGTTGCTTCTGTCTCTTCATGTCTTTTGGAAAAAAATACCTGCTTAGAGGTCTTTGGCTGTCCAGCCAGCTGCAATTCAAAACATGGCTGTCCAGCCACCTATGCACTTTACAGTCTTGGCCTCAGCAGCTAAAGTCCTTCATGTCTTCTTCCAGCTCAGGGTTCCAAACCCCTTCCAGGATCAGGTGGAAAGCAAACCCAAACTTGCTGAGAATCTTTCGTGGAAGCATCCAAGCTGGTGTGCTTTTCACACTTGCAGCAGCCACAGCCACCAGAAGCGACATGAAGCTTAAGGCCTTGCCAATTTTGTCTGGCCAGACATACTCTTTTCTGTCACACAAGTCATAAGCTTCCTCCAGCAACTGGCACAAAAGATGAATGTGCTTCCCTTTCTCAGTGGTTGGTAGCTCTTTTGCCAGCAGAGTGGCCACTGGGGCAAATTTCCTCACTCTTCTTCCTTTCACATGCCTCAAGCATGGAAAGTCATCTGTGAAAATATCCGAAGGGTTCAACCTGGGGATTCTGTCTCCTGCTCTGACCCCCAGTTCTTGGTATTAGGCAGCCACCCACCTGTTCAATTCCACCACACCTGCTTTCTTGCCTTTGCCAGTTTTCCCAACAAGGAGTGCACAAAGGTTTCCATAAACATGGGAAGCTACACCCAAGTCTACCAAGTGGAGGAGGTCCATCTTCAAGGTCCAAAAGGAGACACCAGGGACTTTGTAGAGGGGATGTGCCTCATTTGGTGGTGTGTCATCCCAGCTTCTGAGGGTTGTCTTCCACAATGCATTTTTCCTGAAATCTGTGAAGGCGTGCTTGGTCTTTGTCATGTCGAAAAAATTGTCTGCCCTGCAAAAAGGGCAAGGGTAGTTGCTCATGGCTGTTGGCCATCCAAACTCTGAAGAAAAGTATTCCAGGTCTCCTGCCAGCACAAACAAAACCCCCTTCTTCTTGTCTGCCAATTTCTTGAAACTTCCAGCAATAGCTTCCCAAATTGGTTTCAGTGAGGATTTTGTATTTGCAGTTTTTGGCAATGCTGCCAGCAAGAGCTGCGAAACTTTAATGGAATGGTGTGAGATAGCACATCTCATGCTCAGCACCATCAAGGAGTCCACCTCTGAGAATGGGGCACCATCTCCATGCAGAAGCCAAGGGATTGGCCTATAGCCTCCTCCTGGGTTGCAGTGCAGGCTTGGCATGTGTAAAGTAACACTACAGAAAGACACAATTCCAAAAAAAACATTTTTTTTGCATGCTAGGTTCTTCTCAGGCTGTCCCAGTAAGGCTTCCAGCATTGCAGCTGAGGATTGCTCTTCCAGTTTTGCTGGCTCCAGAAGTCATCCAGGCATTCCTGGCTGCAGGTCATCTGCTCTAGTAAGCCATTCCTTTCCAAGGTATCCACCCAGTCATGAGGTAGAATGACTGGGATTTCTTTTGCCAGCTCTTCAACTGCACCCATGTTGTTCTTCACTTTCACAAGGCACTTGACATCCATCGGTGTAGGGGCACACATCTCCTTGAAGAATGTCTTCACTAAGTCCCTATGACAGTTCTGTGGGCTTTCCCCTCTGGCTCCAAGTGCTGCTAATTTTTCCAAATCAACCCCACTAGCTCCACTCTTGCAGGCTGCCAATGCAAAGGCTTGGCACTCAGAAGCTGACAGCTTCCCCCAAGCAAATTTGTGAAGGAGAAGTATGGCTAATGGGGATTGCAGCACCAGCTTTTGCTGCTGGTCAGGAATATGTTTCCTTTTGCCCATCTTGAACTTAAAATGGCTTCTGAAGCAGCATAGGTGAGCAATGCCAAAAGATGGCTATCCAGCCACCACACTCTACCCTTTCCTGTGGCTATCCAGTCCAGCCACCACACTACATGCATGGCTATCCAGCCATCAGAGACACACTTTTTCTCCTGCTTGCAATGGTGACTCCACAGCAGCTGGCTGTACAAAATTACTGTTTTTTTTTGAATTTCCAGGTCAGTGCAGCTGGCCTGTACATCTTGTTGTTGCTCTTCTGTGAACTCTACCTCATCTGCCACCTCATGCACTGGGTTGGTTCTCTGCTTCTTCCTTTCCTCCCACTGTCTAATCTTCCCAGGCTTCAACTTGGGGTAGGTCTTCTGGTGGGATGAGCACCTGGCTGTCCTCGCCTGGGTGGTGCACCCATGTAGCATACTCAGGGAGACACATGGCTTCTCCCTTCACATACTCCCCACTAGAGTGCAATCTCTTCCCCATGCTGTTGCCAGGCTTGAGCAATTGAAAGGCTTGGAGACAAAATGCTATGGTGACTAGCATCCCAACACATTTTTTCCCTTTCCAATGGGTGTGCACAGCATCTTGGCTTTCCAGCCAACACACTCTGCCCTTGCCTGTGGCTGTCCAGCCACCACACTCTACCCTTGCCAGTGGCTGTCCAGCCACCACACTACATGCATGGCTATCCAGCCATCACAGACACATTTTTTTCCTGCTTGCCATGTCTAATGTCTTCAAAAACCGCCTGCTTAGAGGCCTTTGGCTGTCCAGCCAGCTACCGAACTTTGCTTGAGGCCTGTGGCTCTCCAGCCACCTACCTTTACTTGGTGGTGCTTAGTCTTCACCATCACCAGTCTTCTTCTTAGTGGGCACAAAGAGCTTCTTGCACTTCTTTCCTTTCTCCAAGGCAGCAAAGCTGTCAAGCAAAGCTTCCTTGGCAGCTTCCTTCTTGCAGCCTCCTGAGATGACCTTCTCAATCTTTTTCTGGCTGGCCTGCAGTGCTGTCAGTGCTGATTGCAGAATCTTCAAATCATCCTTATTTGAAGACTTGCCTTTGGCTTCCAGCCTGGCCTCTTGCAGTGTCGCTTCATCTTTGCAGAGCTCAGTCTTGAAGGCCAGAAGCTTCTTCAGCAGGGAGTCCTTGTTGTCTGTCTTGCTGACCTGGCTCATCTCCTCCCACTTAGGCCTCTTGTCTTCATTTTTCTTCTCCTCAGGTTTCTTGTTCTCATCCTTTTTTCGGTCCTCATCTAGGTCTTTGACTGCCAGCTGCTTCTGGAAGAAGTCTTTGAGCTCAGGCTCCATCTCCATGTCATCCAAATTTCCAGAAAGGCCAAAGCTGCCCTCCCCAATGTCCTCCAGGGACAAATTCTCCATGCTGAGCCAGTCATCCTTGCTGGCCTTGTGCTTGTCAGTGGAGTACTCAGTTCTTCTCTTCTTTGTTTGGCTCCACTTGTAGTATTCAGTACTGTCCAGGAACTCAAAGAACCTGGGGTCACTGGGGCTCTTCCTGAACTTCATGGTTCCTGCCTTCAGCCTGGCCACTGCTTCGTTTTTCCCATACTTGTGTTGAACTTGGCCTCTCCACCTTTCTCTTCTTTGCCAAAGGTCAACATGGCAGTCTTGTAGTTCTTTCCAATGCTGCCCTTGTCCAGGATGAAGGACCTGAGAAGCTGGTGCTTCTTCTCTTGGCTGCCCAGCCCTTTGGTCACATCCTTGTAGCTAGCATCTTCTCCAGCCAGCTGCCTTTGTTTTTTGAATTTCTTCCACAGAACCTGGGCCTCATTTGCTGGCAAGTTAGCCAAGGCCTTGTCAATCTCCTTGGCACTGCAGAGCTTGGCAGCCAGGAGCTGCTGGTGGGTCTTCAAGTTCTTTGCTGTCACTTTGGGGTTCACCACCTCATCATCTGAAAAGGCTTCCTCCTCTTCTCCTTCCTCTGCCACCTTCTCTGCTTCAGGGTCAGCATTGGCAGGCTTCTTGAGAAGGCCCCGGTTCTTCCCACCAGTCTGTCCAGCTGGTTTCTTTTTGGCCCTAGCTCCTTTGGCTGCTGCCTTGCTCTTCGGTTTCACTACCTTCTTCATGGCCACACTCTTGGAAGCAGGCCTCTTCATGGCAGCTCTACCACTACCCATGGCAGAGAGTTCACCAAGTGGTCCTACAGTGTTTAGTTTTGAACACACACAGCTATGCCACAAAATCCCTGGATTGAAATTTCCAAACAGCCAGGCCAGCAGCTGAGACCCCAGGAAATCGAAAAAAACTATTTTATCACATCTTATCACATGTTATCATGTGATAACTTGTTCTTCACATGTTATCATGTCTTATCATGTCTTATCATGTCTTATCAGGCTCTTCACATGTTACCATGTGATAGCATGTGCTTTTTTCCACCTTTTGTGGCCATTTTTTTGCATGTTTCTTTTTTTTCAATTTGTTTGTTCCTTTTGCTTGGGCCTTGAAAAAATGGTCCATGAGTGGGAGTCAAGTTTAGTCTGAGTTTAGTGGGTCCCTTTTACTTGGGCCTTCACAAAAAATGGTCCATGAGTGGCAGTTAAGTTTAGTGTGTCCCTTTTACTTGGGCCTTAAGTCCATAGTTGGCAATCTTATTTTCGAAATACATTAAACATATATCCATAGGGTCCTTCTGTTCATACCTGATTGTGTGTGTGTGTGTGTCACATTTCTATCATTTTTTCTATGTGGCTGTCCAGCCACCACACTTTCCACTTTTTTCTAGTGGCCATCCAGCCACCACAGTCTACCATACCCCCATGGCTATCCAGCCACCACACTCAACCCTACTGTGATTGTTTCTTTGTGGCTATCCAGCCACCACACTCAACCCTACTGTGTTTGTTTTTTTTAAGGCTATCCAGCCACCACACTCACACCTACTGTGCTTGTTTTTTGTGGCTATCCAGCCACCACACACAACCATACTGTGTTTGTTTTTTGTGGCTATCCAGCCACCACACTCAACCCTACTGTGTTTGTTTCTTGTGGCTATCCAGCCACCACACTCAACCCTACTGTGATTGTTTTTTGTGGCTGTCCAGCCACCACACTCAACCCTACTGTGATTGTGTTTTGTGGCTATCCAGCCACCACACTCAACCCTACTGTGTTTGTTTCTTGTGGCTATCCAGCCACCACACTCAACCATACTGTGTTTGTTTTTTTGTGGCTATCCAGCCACCACACTCAACCCTACTGTGTTTGTTTCTTGTGGCTATCCAGCCACCACACTCAACCCTACTGTGATTGTTTTTTGTGGCTGTCCAGCCACCACACTCAACCCTACTGTGATTGTGTTTTGTGGCTATCCAGCCACCACACTCAACCCTACTGTGATTGTGTTTTGTGGCTATCCAGCCACCACACTCAACCCTACTGTGTTTGTTTGTTGTGGCTATCCAGCCACCACACTCTGACCAAAACTTTTTATCCCACAGCTTGCACTGGGTCTCTGGTTTTTGAAAAAGTCGCCTGCTTAGAGACCTTTGACTTTCCAGCCAGCAGTTTCTACCCTCAGGCCAAGTACTTCTCCACATCCAGCACCTTGTTCAGCTGTCTCAGCAGGTCTTTTTTGCCGCCTGGTCTGTTGCCTGCACAGGCTGGTTGCTGACACCCTCTACACCCTTTGCTTCTTAACTCATTCTTTTTGTTGATGTAGCTGTACATCCCACATATGTGGCAGCGTCGGAACAAGTTCCATTGTTCCTCCCAAAAAAGGTCCAGGAGCATCCCATCTTCATATTCAGGGGGTTCAGACTCCCAGCTCCCATCGTCCTCGCTGTCAGTGCTCTCCTCCTTCTTTCTCTTCTCAGCAGCCTCTCTGTCTTCTTCTTCTTCTTTTTCCAGCTGCTTGTCCATGTCATCCAGCATCTTCTGGAAGTGCTGGCTCAAGGCCTCCACAAAGCCACCCCAGGTTGGTTCTTTGCCTTCTCATAGTCTCTCTGCAGCTCTCCTGCAAGAGAAAATAAAGGGAATCAAACTGATTGTAGTTGGCTCTACTCTACCCTACTATGTTTGTTTCTTGTGGCTATCCAGCCACCACACTCAACCCTACTGTGATTGTTTTTTGTGGCTATCCAGCCATCACACTCAACCATACTGTGTTTGTTTTTTGTGGCTATCCAGCCACCACACTCAACCTTATCCTGCTGCATATATGACTGATGATTGGTTTATAGGTATTTCTCACTATTATACACCAAACCCTGTTTCTAGTGCACCTTCCCAGGGTGCCATGCCTCCCGGTGTAGCTTGAGTTGCACCATGTTGACACAAGCTTCCTGCCAACCAGCTTGAAAGGTCTGCCATGTGCACTCTGGGGCCAAGCTTTCATGGATGGCGCGCAGCTTTTCCCTGAATTCCTTGGCCCACAACCCCCCTTGGCTGCTGTTGAGGGGCTGCATTTTGCCTCTTCCCTTACCACTGCCTTTTGCTGAGGCTGTCCAGCCTCCAGGCTCCTGTGGCTGTGTGGAGGCTGCAGCAGGGCCTGGGCTAGGCTCTGGTGAGGCCTTTGGGCTTGGAGTGGGCTGGGTGGCTGTCCAGCCATCAGAGCCACCAGGTGAGGGTTCGCTTGCCTTTGTGCTTGCCCATCTGGACTGTGCTGCTGCTTCTGGCTTGCCTGCTGCTTGTTTTGGTTGTGGGGTTGCTGCTTCTGCTGGTGCTGGGGCTCCCTGTGGTTTTGCTGCTTGCTTGGGTGTAGCTTCTGCTTTGGGTGGGGGCCCCTCTGCTTTTGCAGGGGCTGCCTGTGCTTGGGCTGCTTTGGCAGCTGGTGCCTTTGCTGTGGCAGCTGGTGCCCCTGCTCCAGCTGGTGCTGCCACAGCTTCTGTTGGTGCTGCTTGTGCAACTGCTACAGCCTCTGCCAGGCTTGGTGCTGTTCTTTCTGCTGCAGGTTCTTCCTCTTCTTTTTCGCCCCACCACCCATGGCTTTCTTCGCCACTGCCTGACCATCCCCAGTTGCTGCCCCAGTCTTGCCACCAACTCATGGCTCCACAGGGCTTCTCAGTCTGCGGGGTGCTAGGCTTGAGGGCTCCCCTGACCATCCCCAGTTGCTGCCCCAGTCTTGCCACCAACTCATGGCTCCACAGGGCTTCTCAGTCTGCGGGGTGCTAGGCTTGAGGGCTCCCCAAACAGCAGCAGTTATATAGTTTTGTGATTTGTGGCTATCCAGCCACCACACTCAACCCTACTGTGTTTGTTTCTTGTGGCTATCCAGCCACCACACTCAACCCTACTGTGTTTGTTTCTTGTGGCTATCCAGCCACCACACTCAGCCCTACTGTGATTGTTTTTTGTGGCTGTCCAGCCACCACACTCAACCCTAATGTGTTTGATTTTGTGGCTATCCAGCCACCACACTCAACCCTACTGTCTACTGTGTTTGTTTCTTGTGGCTATCCAGCCACCACACTCAACCCTACTGTGTTTGTTTGTTGTGGCTATCCAGCCACCACACTCAACCCTACTGTGTTTGTTTCTTGTGGCTATCCAGCCACCACACTCAACCCTATTGTGCTTGTTTCTTGTGGCTATCCAGCCACCACACTCAACCCTACTGTGTTTCTTTGTTGTGGCTATCCAGCCACCACACTCAACCCTACTGTGTTTCTTTGTTGTGGCTATCCAGCCACCACACTCTGACCAACCTTCTGTTTTCACAGGTGCAAGAGTCTCTAGCTTTCAAAACCATACCTGCTTAGAGGTCTTTGGCTATCCAGCCAGCTGCAGCTCAAAACATGGCTGTCCAGCCACCTATGCACACTTCACAGATTGTTCTTGGCCTCCAGCACAGTGGCTAAAGTGCTGCCTCTCTGGAGCATGCCCATCAATCGCTCAGCAGCCTTTTTGTTCTTGTTCACATCCTTGAATTTGACCACCTGCAGCAATTGCCCAACATTCTTGGCCACCACTGCCACAGCTGTGGTCTTTTTGTAGGTCATCAGGTACAAATTCGCCTTCTTGTAGTTAAAGCTCAACTTGTCTTGCTGCTCTTTCTGCTTGGCAGCTGGTCTCTTGAAAGGCCTTGCTGCAGGCTTCTTCAAGGCTTGCAGTTCTCTCAAGTTCTGCTTCCTTGCAGGCACAGGAGACACTTCTTCAGCTTCTGCCAGGCACTTGCTTTTTCTCTTCTTGCCAGGTGTGGAGGGGAGGTCCATGCTCAGCAAGTCCTGGGTGGCTATGGAAGAGTTGCTGTCTTCATCTTTTGCTCCTTGTGCTGCCTCTTCCCTCCTAGAGCTGCCTTTGGTTTCCTGCTGTTCGACTCCTAGTGCCAGCCTCATTGCTTCCAACTTTTGAACTTGCCAGTCTGACAAAGACTTGCAAGCTTCTTGAAACTTCTGGTCGATTTTCAACCTCCTGACATGTGTGCACATGGTCATGCAGGCTTCTGCCAACTTCCCTGACAAGCTTGGCCTCATGCCTACAGGAAAAGAATTCTGCAAGTCAGGAAAGTTTTTGCAAACCTCTCCAAAGGCATCCTTCAAGTCCTTGTAGTTGAAGAGCAAGGAGTCATTCAAGCCAAGGAGCTTGTGCACAAAGGTGCTTTGTTCAACCAAGCTTTTGCCACTGATGGCTTGGGCTTTGGAGATCACCAAGTAGTCCCCCAGTTGAAAAGCATCAGCCTGGCCTAGTGTTCTCACCTGCTCTTTCAGCACATCCAGGAGGTGCTCCATGTCTACCTGTGGTGTAGGCATCCTTCTAGGGCCACCCTTTTTGGGAGCCATCATCCACTACTATATAAGCTTGAACCTTGACACTCCAACAGGTTCATTGCTCATCCTTGCAAAAGAGATCTTTCAGTTGTTGCAGTCACCACACTCTGTGGCTTTCCAGCCACCACACTCCAGACAGAAACCACCAAGACCTTACCTATTTCCATTTTTCCTGTTCAAAAATAACTATTTTTCCTTTTCAAAATTCAACCGAAAAATCAATCGAAAATTCAACCGAGAATTCAATAGAAAAAGTGTTCAAAATCCAAAATTAGCAATTTTCATTTTCAATCGAAAAATCAATCTTACAATTTCTAAAAAAGACCTTCCCAGATTGAAAAAAACAATTTTCAATCGCAGATTGATTTCTTTCAAAAACCAATCTCTAGATTGATTTTTTTCAATCTAGG